GCTGGGGAAGAAGAAGGCAGGATGCTCTTTCATGTGGGGTGGGATTAAAGCCCGGGCCTTCAACCCCACCTGTCCTCAGCCCCATAAGGAGAGGCTGCTAGCCCTGCTAGCCCTATGGGGTGGGATCTGTTTCACGGCACACAAGACAGCAAAAATTGCCACAACCCACGAAGACAGCCACCTGCCCAAGCCAAGATGGTCCCTCTGCTTTTCCCATCTGGCCAGAAGAGAGGGCTCCAGAGTTGAGCGGGGGGGGGGGAAGGAGCCACAGGAAGCTGAGAAAAAAAGAAAGCCTTCTGGGTCACAAAAGGGTGCTCTATTTGCGATTGTTTGCTCTGTAGATTTGTCTCCCGAAACAACAAAAAGATCTGCGCCAACCCAGAGGACAAATGGGTCCAGAAGTGCCAAAGGGAGCTCCCGCCGCCCGAATACTGACACTTCTCCCTCCGAGCAGGAGGCCAGAAGACTGCTTGACCATGTCCGTAATCCGCTCTGCTGAAACTACACAAAAATATTAAAAGGGAGCCTTGCAGCCTGTGTCAGGGGTTTGTCTTTCATGGGTGCAACGAGGGAACAGGGGGTCCCCAGCTCGGTGAGGCAGCCGTTCTCCCCCCCTCCTCAAAAGGGTTTGCGGATTGAAGGAGCTCCTCAGGGTGCATCATGGGGAGGGGGCAAAATCAGGCCCCTGTGAGCAGAAAGCTGCCCTTTTAATCACCAAATGGAAACTTGCACACACCCCCTGAGACCCTCCTGTCTCCTAGAGAGATGCTGTTCAACAGTCAACGATTTAAGGGTTTCCCCAGTTGGGTATAGAGGAGAGAAGCGCGATGGCTTAATTTTTTTTTTAAAAAAGCAAACATAAAAACTATTTGAGGCAGGGATGGGCAGATTGAGGAAACCGGAAAGTTATGACCAGATTCCTGCCCTCTGTCCGCATACCGGGCTAATATCGAGGAGGAGGAGGGCCTGTAAGGTGAAGAGGAAGAAAATTCCTTCTGTTCCATGAAACGAAACCCAGACTCTCTCGGGAGGTAAAAATGGGTTTTAAAATCAACATACTTTGTCCTGAGAATGTATGACCTCTGGACAGTTGTGTAAGGTTGGTGTAAAAACATCAGCGAGACATTTATAGAACTGGATGAATTAAGAGATGCTGGGCTAGAAGGTTTTTTCATCTATTTTTCCTCTTCCCCTCCTCATTTGTTTTTTGTGTGTTTTTTTTTAATTCATTGGACTTAGAGGGACTTCTTCTGAGGCACCGTCCTCCCATGGCCATCATGGCCACAAGGGTTCCATCATCTCCTGGCCACAGGCATGGGGAAAGATGGGCCCTGCAATCCGCCCGTCAGAGCCTGGCACCCCTTCCTCCTCCTCCTCCTCCTCCTCCTCCAGCAAGGAGAGATTACCAGCCTGGGTTTTCTTTTCGCTTTGAACGCCAGGCAAGGAAACCTCTCTTGTGTCGTCCTTTCTCTCTCCTCCTCCTCCAGCCGTGAGCATCTCTCCGGCTGCAGAAGAAGCGAAAGGAGGCCTCGGGTGGGCTGGGAACCCCCTCACGGCCTCCCCCTTCAACCCCACACGCTCATGCAAAGCAAGGGGGAGAAAGGTGGCAGTGAGAAGGGGAAGGCAGCCCCCACCCACCCCTCGCGAAGGACGCCCGGGGAATAAAACCTGCCCACCGTTTCCAAGGACAGAGGCGGCTTCTCTGCGCTGGCTGGGGAGGGAGGCGAGGCTCCCTTTCGCCTTTCCCTCTTCCGAGAGTCTTTGGCCATCCCGGCGAGGAAGAGCCGGCCGGAGCCCTGGTGGGAGACATAAATGAGGTGAGGTCTTGGACGTGCCCTCTGGGGGGGAGGAAGACGGGTGGGTGGGCAGGGGGTGTACGCACGGCTGGACCCCGCAGGGGCGCCTGGATGCATGCCCCCCCCCACACAGGCACATCAAACATGGGGAGGGAATGAAGGTCTAAAGAGGGCCAGGATCTGTCAGTTGCTGTGGCGGCCGAGAAGGGGAGATCAGCCCAGATTTAGCAAAGAGGATTTGGAAGAAAGCAAGCCAGCAGAGGTGTGTGTGTGAGAGAGAAAACAGGGGGGGGGGGGCACATCCAGCGCTGCAAAGGCCGTCTCCTTATGCGTGGTGAGGTTGCACCCCTGCTCTGCAGGTGAACTGCCCTGACATTGACATGGGGGGGGGATGTCAGTGGTGTTGTGGGGGGGGGAGAAAGCCTGCTTTGTGTGTTGCATGGGCGTGCATGCCGCACTGCTTCAGGAGATGGGTTTGGGGTTGTTTTTTTAAAATCATGGTGGTTAAAAAGGAGCCATCCGCTCCCAGGGAGCCTGCATGCCAGAGGCCAGCCAAAGCCATGGGGGGCAAGGCAGGGAGACCCCCTCCCCCGCTGAACCGGAAAAAGAGATCCACAGTATAGGGTCGGGGTGGGGTGGGAAAGGTGGGGTGTCACTGAATAGGTTCCCCGAACCCCCCCTTTCAAAAAGCATGGGTTTAGGAGGTGGCCAATTTCAAGCAAGGTCACACGCTTCCCCGTGGCTGGGTGTCTTTCCCTCCCATCCCTCTTTCTCTGGCTGGCTTTTCCAAGGTTGAATTCACACCCACCGTTCCTAGCAGGGGTTCAGTGCATACGGACCTGCGAGAGGGAAGGAGGTATGGCCCTCCTCCCACACCCAGCAGCTCCCAATTCAGAGGAGGGCCGATTCACCCTTACCTCCTTGATTGATCTCCCCATTTTTATCCGGGTCCGGCAGAGACTGATTTGGCCTGCCCTTTCCTCCCCACCCCAAAGCGTGGGCCATTTTGAGACTCCCCTCTTTACGCCCAGCCGCCGACATCAGCATATGAAGCTGGTTTGGAAATATTAAAAAGAATTGAGACCGGCTCTGGGGAAGCCACTCAAGCCAAGGCGGCCATCCTGGGTTTTTCCCCCCTCTCTAAGCCAAGGGCCTGCCATTCCCATAGCCGCCTCCATGTCTGACCGCTGCATCTAAAAGGTTGCAGTGCATTATATTCCTCCGTGGGGAGGCCCGCCAGCCAAAGCTGGCCCTCGCTCAGGGAGAGGAGGGTGCCAACTCCCACACCCCAGGCTGGCGTCTCTCCCCCACCTCCTATGGATACTCTGAGCTCACCTATGGGGATCCACCCCCATCTTTTCCCTTATTTTAGTCCTTCTGCAAAGTTTGGGGGCCTCCCGGAGTCTGCTCACCCACCTTTCTTGTGCACTCGTGTCTGGGCTACAAGAAAAGATGTCACCAACGGAGACCCAAAATAGAGGGGAATGACACTAACCTGCATGGATATTATGGCTATGCTTGCAATTACAGTATTTTCAATTATCAGGCACCCCGGCTGGTTTATGTCACTGGGGGGGGGCTTTTCTCACTGGTGCACAAATCGTTCAAATGTGCATTTCTTCAGAATTCTGGGGCGAGTCCCTGAACCAGAAAACAAACATCCTCCTCTGCTTGGGATTCCTGCCCACATTTTGTAATAACAGACCGAGTTTTTTCTCTCCCCCCCCCCATGTCCTTTTAAGCAAAGATTGCTGGAGTTCCCCTTTTTTTAAAAAAAAACCTTCAAACAAGTTTCTAGGCCTTGAGATGGGATGACATCCCAGAAACTACCAAGGGAAGCCCAGGCATATTCTAACCAAAGAAGAGCAGGTCTAATCATTTTTATTTTGGGTTATTTTCGAATGGGAGGCCGTTCTCTTTCCAGAGAGCAAGCTGGATGGACCCGATTGACAGCCTTGTGAACGGCGCCGTTCTCCTTGTCGCTGAGTCTGATCCAGCCCGTGGGTGCTGGTGGACGGCTCATGGATGTCCCTCCCTGCTGCCAGAGAAGGCGCGAGGGCTCTGGCCCATCCAGAGCCTTAAAATCAGGAGATGTCCGCTTGTCCATCTTTGTCCCTAAAAGACGGGAAAAGTTCCCTAACCCCAAAAGAGCCCCCGAAGGGGGATCAGGCCCTATAAGGTAGGCCTCCGTCACCAAGCCTCTTGCTCCCAAAGTGGGCAGCTAGTTCTGCCCGTCTGTTGGAAGACCACCAGCAGGAGGATGACCATGCGTCGCCCTCCCGGGAGCTGTTCCCCTACAGACCTGCTTTCGATGCCACCTCTCCTGATTCGTAGCCTCTGCCTCCGCGGGATTGTTCAGCCCCAGGGTGAAAACTTAAAAAGAATCAGCCAATTCTGTAAAAATAATAATAAATAAACCCAAGCCAGCCTCTGGCTCCAGGATCCGCAAGTTTCAGACATGAATTTCCGATGCTCGCCCTCAGAAACAGGACGGCTTGAGGTCCGATCCGGCAAACTCCCAGGTTTGCACGGATTCAGTACAGGTCTCGGTGAAGGTTCGGTAGGGGTGATCGGAGGCAGGAATAACCTTCTGGCCCTGGCAGACTGAAACACACCCCCAAAACACCCTGCAGTGCTTTCTCCTTCTTAGAAAAGCAGGAATGGGAGTTTGTATTCTTCTCTGCTCCCTGATTTCCAGCTGAAGTTCAGTTACATAAAATCCAAGCATCTTTCTCTTTAATTTAGGTCAAACCTGACTGGATTCTTTTTCTTCCCCCTCCTTTTCCTCTCTCTTCCTCACCCCATCCCTTCCTGGCTGCATCTAGCTGGCATTGAAAAGATGCCCGAGGAAAGCAAGCCAGCATTTAGGGGGGGGGGAGTGTTGTGTATGTGTGTCAAAGAAGAGAAGGAGAGAGGTGTTCTTTGTGACGGTGTGTGTGTGTGTGTGTGTGTGTGTGTGTGTGTGTGACTGTGCCATGAATCTGAATCAGATTTTCTTTTTCCTGCACAGCTCAACGTGAGCTTTCCAAAGGGGAATCGACAAAGCAAACGATTCCACTCCCAGAGGAATTAATTTGGGAGGCTGAGGAGAAACTAGCACCACCACCCTGCTTAATAGCATAACTTTGCAAGCAGGAAACGTAGGGTTTACCATCTTGATTAATCATGACATTTTGCAGAAAAGAAGAAGAAAAAAGGGAGGCCACAGAGTTTGAAAGCAGGAAACGCATGGACAGTGATCATGATCAACCTCACAGCAGAGTTTCGCAAGCGGGCGATAATGATCATGATAAATCATACATTTTTGGAAGGGAGGGGGGAAAAGTCCCGGTTTTGCAAGCAACCCATGTAAGGTCATCTCTTCGCTATAAATCATGCACGGTTCTTTAAAAATACATAAATAAACAAACAAACAAACAAACTCTCTGGCTTGCGCTGTTCATATGGGTTCTGTAACAGCAAAGCCCTCCTCATTTATAGAAACCCTGCACACAAACGGAAATCTCAGCCATATTCTGGTTTCCTGATGCACTGAGTTGGCTTAAAGGCCCTTAGGTTTTGTTCTGATTTAGGAATTAAATGTCTGCTGATGGAAACACGACTGCCTTTCCCATCCACCCCTATCTAAGCGAAGAGTCCTCTATGGGGCCTTGTCCAGGGACTCTGGGTTTTCTGGCCCCCTCGAAAACACACGCATCATCTCCTACCCCCTCGGAAACACCAGCCAACTCTGTGCATCGGGAAACCAGAACGACTGAGATTTCTCTTTACGCGGCCCTGCGTAAAGAAACGGGTGGACATCACTTTGAAAGTCATGGTATCCCTCGTAACTTTTTTCCCTTCCAAACGCTGCGTGAAGCTCGCCAAAAGACTGTCCAGAATTTAAAAAACAACAACCCAAGCAGGACATGAGGGTATAAAATCAGGTTTACCTCCCTCCCCCTCTGTTAATTCGGGGAAAACCTGGCCTGGTAAGAATCTCAAAACCTTGGCCCTTTCCTCGATGTCTTTTTTCATTTGCCTCTGTAAATACAGATTTCCGAATGCCTGGCTTTTGCGATCCCCACGAGTTGAGCATTTGCTGGAGGCTCGGTTTGGGCCGTGAATGGGTCAAGGGGGTTCCTCTCTCCTCCACCCCAATCGTCGTTTCGCCTCCTGGAGAAGAGCAGGCAGATGTGGCAGGAGGCCTCCCTCGGTCCACCAGTTCAGCCCTGATTCTTAATTTTTTTGGGGGGGGGATGTCTTGAGATCCAGGCTACCATTTAGCCATCTGTTTCCACCCACCCATCGACCCGGGTCATCGTTCATCCCGGTCGGCCCTTCCTACCTCGCAAGGAGGGAAGGTGGGCGTTAGGGGGCTTATGCAACCCAGTTCCTTTCTTGCTTGACAACCATGAGGGCCGTTACACAACCCGCACTCGGTGCTCCGAAGTGGTCCATCTGTGGTACCCAGCACTCTGGTTGCTATGGTTACCAGCATCTCTCCCTATCTCTCTCTCTTTCTCCTTCTTGGTTTGCCTTTTCACACTAAGGTCCCCGCAGTTCGCAGGGTTTAATTGCATTTCCTGCTCTGTTGAGGAGAGATGCTCTTGACATGCATGGGGGGGGGAGGTCAGTTGAAGAGGCCGCAAACAGAAATAGGTTTTGCCTGCTTTCTCCAGCCCCTTTCCTGACCTCTGGCTTGCTAGCACAGACTCTTGAGGGGGCTCGGAGGCATAAAAACTAGGAGGTGGGGGGGGGACAGCAGCTCACCCCTTATGCTCCTTTAAAAAGAAATTTGATAAATTCATTGCTGAGAAGGAGGGAGACCAGAAAGCAGCCCAGGGAAAGACTGAAGCTCCCTGCAAGGCCTCTCCCCTCTCCCCACCCCCCCATAGCATCCTCCCTCATGGCTGGGAAATCAGAAGAGCTGGGCCAGTAAAGCAGTTGAGTGGGCAACCTCTTTTGAGCCCTTGGCTAGCACGCACTGTTCACATAAGGGCAATGTTTGTGAGGGGGGGGTGTTAGCTTCGTCTCCTCCTTCCCGGCTCCTCCTCCTAGTGCCGCACTCTTGCCTGATAACACGGACTCTAATCAGGATAAACTGCCCGTTAATTTAATAAGAGCCTCTCCATCAAGTCTGGCCAAGTCTCCCTTTTGACTGGGAGGGGAGAAGGCGGTGGCACAGCCTGGGCCTTCTATCACTGGGGAAAACTGGCCAGCATCTGGCACCACATTTCCCCGCTTAGGGGGTTTTCTTTTTTGCTCTGACCGCAGACACAGGGTGGATTTGGAGCAGGGTGGGGAGGAGGAGAGTCAAACACTCTAAGCAGCCGTGCGGGGAAGACCTTCGGACCGACCGGACGAGGTCTCCAAACCCCACCCGCCCTAACCAGGTGGATCACACGCTTCTGCACGCTCAGAGGGTCACCCAGTGGCTGCCTTTTTAATGGACGCTTCCCCGCCTGAGCCGTTATTCCACCTGTGGGTTCGGTTTTGTTAAGACTTTGTGGGCCCCAATTTCTAAAAAAAAAACCCCATCCTTCTCCCCCAACCACACCCCAAAAGGTGCCGTGACAGCAGGAAGCAAGTCACAAGGCAGGGCCTACCTTGCAAGGACAGTCGTGTGACAGGTTCTCTCCCCAGGAAGGGAGGCCGATGGCTTCTGCTCCTAACGGACCCTCTCGTCTGCTTCTCTCCGGGCCGCAGGAACCGCCGCCATGTTGACCGCCATCGCCGAGGGCTTCCTCTGCTGCCTGCTGGGCAAGACGCCCAACGCAGTGGGCCCCCTGGAGAGCGTCGAATCCAGCGACGGCTTTAGCTTCGTGGAGGTGAAGCCCGGGCGGGTCCTGCGGGTCAAGCACATGGCCCCCGCCCGCCCGCCTGCCCCGGCGGAGGAGGAGCCCCGGAAGGCCGCCGGGGCCATCCGCTGCAAGCGCCGGATCACCGTCTACCGCAACGGCCAGATGCGTTGAAGAGCCCCCCGGCCCCGTGGAGGCGGAGGTGGCAGAGGCCCGGCCACCACCCTCAGGCCACCCTCCGGCCCCCGGGGGGCGACGCCGCAAGCGCCGCCCGAAGAAGCAGGTGGAGATCGACTGCGCCAAGGAGATCACCAGCTGCAAGGGGAGCCACAGGGATGTGGTCCTCTTCTTCCTCCATGGGGTCGGAGGGTCCCTGGACATCTGGAAGGAGCAGCTGGACTTCTTCGCCAAGCTGGGCTACGAGGTGGTGGCCCCGGACCTGGCCGGCCACGGGGCCAGCTCGGCTCCCCAGATCGCAGCCGCCTACACCTTCTACGCCCTGGCTGAGGACATGCGGGCCATCTTCAAGCGCTACGCCAAGAAGCGCAACATCCTGGTCGGACACTCGTACGGGTGAGGAGGGGGGAACCCTCCACAGGCCTCGGTCGCCAGGTCTAAAGCAGCACTTCCAGGGGAAATGGGTTTGGGGCTCTGGGAGCCGGAAGGCCAAGCAGGAAGGGTGCTTCCTTTCTTCCATCCTCAGGAAGTGAGGTGGGGAAAGGGCAGCCCAGAAGGGGCCACCAGCTAACCCCCGAGGCCTGGCTGGAAACCAGAGAGGGTCTCCTCTCTGCCCCCTCCAAGTCTCAAGGAGGAGTGGTGTTGCAATCAAACGGGGGGGGGCAGAGTCACTCGACAAAAATATCCCCTTCTCAAACGGAAAGCTGACAGAAACAGAGCTAGGGCTACCCCATGCGGATCCCCCCCCAATGATTTTTGCTCATTTTCAAGGGCTGGGCGCGAGAGCGTCCAGAGGGGTCCTTGTTGAGAGCAGCTGTTTGGTCCTTTCCCCATCCCACCGTCCAGCCTGCCCCTTTTCGTCCTCCTCCCTTTTTTCTTTCTTAATTGGCCTGCTTCTTTCCCCTCCTCCTTCCGTGCAGGGTCTCCTTCTGCACTTTCCTGGCTCACGAGTATCCGGATCTCGTCCACAAGGTCATCATGATCAATGGGGGAGGCCCGACGGCCCTGGAGCCCAGCCTGTGCTCCATCTTCAACATGCCCACCTGCGTCCTGCGATGCCTCTCGCCCTGCCTGGCCTGGAGCTTCCTGAAGTAAGTGCCCGGCCACCACACAAGGAAAGGTGGGGAGGACTCCCTGATTCTTAGGGGTGTCCCCGCCCCCCCTTTGGAGAGCAACGAGATGCCATTCTTTAGAGCGCAACTTCCAAAGGCACTAAAAAATATTCCGTGCACGTTAAATACGGTTTTGATCCACTCCCACTATGTCAAACCATGAAAGGCTGAGAATAATGCTCTTCAAGGCATTTGAGGGTTGTTCAATTTGAGGGGGGGGGGGGAAGAGCAGAGCTGTGGGGCCGCCAAAGGGGTGCCGACTCTATAAAAAAAAAGATCTCCGCTCTCACGAGCCATGCCAGACCAGATGCCGGTCCCGATTCAGAATTCCAAAACTTCTCTTTCCGCTCCTGCCCATCCTCCCTCGCAGGGCCGGCTTCGCCCGGCAAGGCGCCAAGGAGAAGCAGCTGCTGAAGGAGGGAAATGCGTTCAATGTCTCGTCCTTCGTCCTGAGAGCCATGATGGGGGGCCAGTACTGGCCCGAAGGGGACGAGGTCTACCATGCTGAGCTGACGGTGCCCGTGCTACTGGTGCACGGGATGCATGACAAATTCGTCCCTGTGGAGGAGGACCAGCGGATGGCGGAGGTAGGGCTTAGGGAACGGGTGGCCCTCAGAACCCAACAGGAGCGCTTCCCTTTTGGCTTTGGAGGGAGTGGTCCGAGAGACGATGTTAAAAAAAAAGTCGCTCTATCCACTAACGGTGGAAAAAAACCTAAACTATGCTCTTCAATGCACTTGAGCGCTGTTCAATTAACTCTCAGAACAAGATAAGGAGCATTACTGCTAGAAGCATCTGACCTCGAAACTGGGATTTTTTTTAAAATTTTTTTTAATTTTTTTTAAATTTAGGAACAGGGATAGA